AAGTATCGGTGAGCACTCACCCTCTCTTTCCGTTGCTTTCTTCGGTCGAGTCACGCGCTAGCTTCCTTTTGCGAGGCTGGGGGCTCTGATTTAAAGAACAAGGGATCCCGTGGGCTTGACAGGATATGCAACCCTCGTCGTCATCCCCCACAACACACTTAAGTCGCCTTGTCAGACAGGATTCACACGGCGTTCCGGTTCCACTTATAGCAGAATCCGAGTCCGTGGAATCATTACCGTTCATGCTATTCAAGGCGTCGTTACTATGTTGGCGACTGGAGAATGGATGCGAAGGTTTAGGGGCGATGGCAATAGGAACCGTCCTAGGAAGAGTGCTAATAGTGGACATGGTTGAAGAAAAGACTGGGCGGGCTGCAATCAACACCGTTATCTAACTTTCTCGCTGAGGTCGGTCTCGCCGTACCACTTATCGGGTTCCCGCCTAGGTGCCAAATGATGGCTCACCTCTAGGCCCGAGCTACAGGGTGATGTAATCGTCTGTTTTCGGTCGGAGGGGGTGGATGGGGTAGCCGAATAGAGAAATCTGGAATCACTTCTGGATAGGCAGGGTCCCGCACAGCGCGATACGACCTCAAATCGTAGCAAAGAACCGCTGATCTGCTCTACTCTCCACTGCTTTCAGAGCTTCCAAGGGATCCTTGATAAGGAAGGTTGAGAGAGATAAGGCTGTTGGTGGCGCGGGAGGCGTCAAAGGCGACGCAGATAAAACCCACGCGATTTCCCGCGTGGCTTCACCAGTCTGGTGGGATGATGGATCTGGTTTATCAGATTATGACCGGGGAAAATCAAGGATAACTTGAGGCTGGGTCCTGCAAGTTTCTGATAAATAGCCGTTATTAGAGACAGACCTATAGACCCAAATAGCGCATGCGCTCGTAATCCTTCCGGTAATGAGAGGATGGGCCTAGAATCACAAAGCTAGCTACTGCGCGATAGGCCAGACTTGTGTCAATATAATTGCTCCGAGTACCGATGCTGAGGTACTCTAAGTGATGACCGAAGCAAGAATCAGATAAGCTTGGCTTATCTTCGTCATTGATGTACCCGTTCAGGAGAGCAGATAGGGGAATATCTACAAGAGAAGTTGAAGTGAAGTAACGAAGCCCATGTATGTTGAATAAGATAATAAGGAGTTTAAGCTATGTAGGCAGTAGACTTCAAGGATGACGATGATAGGCGGGCCGAGGCGGGCCATACAGCGTTGGCCGTTGGAATTGTTTCCGCAACTAGCTTTATTCTTAACTGCAGTTTTCCTTGTGCCGGATAGGCGATCTGGGCGCTCGGTCGTCGACCCTTTACCGCTAGAATTTCTATTTGCAATCGAAGTGGTACAAGAATATCTTTTTGTGGTGATGTTATTTAGAGTCAACGCGGCAGAACCAGGGCTTGCGGTTGAGAAGAGCAAGGACATGTCATTTGGCTTGGGAATCGAAACAAACGAGCGAATTATATTGGACCAATTGATAAATCCGAGATAATCTTATCTTTGATATAATGACAGAAAACAAATTGTAATACTGTAAGAGAGTTTCGGGAAACAATTCCATAAAGTTAGATCAGAGCATGCACCTTACCCGTCTTTGTTCGATGAGATGTCGAAGATACATGTGAGAAACGTGGAGGGGTAGAGACAGCCTCAACTGCGAGCTAATGAGGTGCAGCGGATTGCGACACCCACACGATCGTTTCGGTATGACAAAGCGAGATGAGATCGGACTTGGGCGTACCGCTGCTGTACCAGGTACTTATGCGGTCTGATCTAATCTTTTATTTTAGGTTGGAACTTATAAATTAGGGGATTCAGGGACAGGCCAAAGCCTGCTCAGAATGTCTTTCATTACCAAATAGAAAAGATGCCTTTGGTGGAATGCGGCTAGCAGGCGGAATACATTTAACGTAATCGTTGGACTATCCCGAATCGTGCAGGGTTCCTTGGGGTGACCTTGGGCTAAGATGGACGACAGAGAAGTGGGACAAAACTGTGGACAATTGCCTGCCCAGGCACGGCAATAGGAATTAGGAATGGGCATTAGAAAACGAAGTTTGTCATTTCGGTCGGGTAGAGCAATAGCCCATGTACGACAACTCAAAGTCCGGCCGGATACGGAGTCTTGGTAGATACATGTATGTCAAGCTGTCCATCGCATCTCTTACAAATCGCAATGTCGGCACTGTACCTACCTACATAAGAGTTTGACAGACGTATTGCTTATCTATTTATTACCTTGGCACAGTTATATAATAAGATTCATAGTGGGATGAAAACCTTATTATTCGTAACGTTGACGACTGAAATTCATCTCTTTATATCGTGGGAAATTTACCATGTGACACCTTCCTTACCTTGCCCACATATCCCTTGAAGACCGAAATACGAGAGCAAGCTCGATTCCGATGCCCTGCCCAATGCAGACACATTTAGAGAAGAAAAGCGATGGGCGACCAGGTAGTTAACGGCTCAACCTCGTGGTCTCTTGACTCTTTACCGTTTACGCATTCGTATCAAGAGCATCTGTTCATCAGCTGCAAGTCAGCAAGCATCGTTCCGAGGGATTCGGTTACATTGTCGGGAGAGCCAATGAACCCGATGCTAGCGTATTACAAGTAGCAATGAATTATGTCACCGCGTCGGGCCTAATATGGCATGGCATTTCTTGGGGACGTCACCGCATCGTCGGTAAAAAGAGAGAAAAGAAGTCTGCCTAGGGTTCAGTTATGGGTCCCCCACGATCCACTATCAGCCACCCATCTATCCATCTATCTCTCGCCTATGATCTGTCTCTCCCCGCGTATACCTAGACAATTTCCACTCTCACCAGCGTGCGATCCCGCTGTGGCTTGCAACACCGCCGCGTATCTTAAACCTATCCCTGCTCACAGGGCTCCCCATCGCACTGGGGTTCACTTGACATGCGACATAAATACCCAAATCAGTTGCCGGCCCCATTTCCCTGCATCACCCATTCAGATACCAGGCAGGTCTGCGCTGTCTCGTGATGCGCTGTTGCTACTGTATGTATTACTTACGTTGGTGAATAAGATTTCGGGCTTTATCCTCGACCCATGCCCTTTGAGCCTCTTGGCGATACTGTCGCTGTGGGGCAGTTGGCAAAGCCTCAATTCTGAGAAGTCGACAGGATGAGATTCAATGCGAGGGCATACTGAATAGGCCCACGTGTGTTGCAACACCCGGGCTGCCGGCTAGTCCAAGGGAAATAGTGCTAACACGCGACATCCTATAGGAACGCTCACCGGTCAATAGCTCCCGCATTGGCAATGGCATCCTTTGCCGTGGGTAAGGTTCTCAATGCTCTTTCTCGCCGTTGACGAGTATGACCACCATCGAAAGATAATAGGATTTTAACGATCAGATGTTCGTGGGGTGCATATTCCCTTAGTTGAAGCCAGCCTATAAGATTTCAGTAGGAGCAATCTCCAACTCACGGGACACGGTCACTTACCACTTCCATTTCTTCAACACCGCGTACACTGTCGAACTTCTTGCGGAACATGTCCCGGGCGCCGTTCCTTGGGTTTCTTGGCTTCCCTCAACTTACGCGGCAATCGAATGAGAAGCCGACTTGCCGATTTATAAGCCCGGGCCATGCATGAATCTACTTCAACTTGTCTTATAATGACTACATCCGTTAGTTAGTCACGAGATCAGGGCATCGCTCCGCCTCAAAGCTAAGGATTGAGAAAACCGAGTTGCGTCAAATCTTAAACATCTTCGACATCTACCAATTACATACAAGTCAAAAGAAATTAGTGGACTTAATATAGATAAATCTACTTGAAGCATAGGCCTAGTCGATCACGATAGAGGTACTTCATGATAGATTCAATTAGGTTCATGTCTAACAAGTCGATTTCTGAATCATCTTTACACGAAACATATATGCAGGCATGCAACTGCTATAATGCTGTATCATAACTCCTCCATGTGTGGAAATAACGGGTCAAAGCTTTAAAATTAAATAAAGAAGATATCTTGTGTTATGTCTTCATAAGGTATTAATTAAGAGTAGGGAATCTAGCATCAGTTAAGATTGCTAAATTCACTAACTTCTCGAGAGGCCTTGTAACTTCTCTGTTAGAGGTCCAGTGGCTCAAGCCACATCTATCTTGTCACTCTTGATTCATGCCTTCACCAGGACTAAAGTGAAGGGCAATTCTTTCATGTCCACTCGTTCAAGAAGAGCCTTGTCATTAGCACGTCCTCAAGGAGTTTCAGCTCGTCGCCACATGCTACTGAAGTCAGGGGGGTCCTCTCATAGAATATGACAAATATAAGTGTCTACCTGGTTATTATGATAAACATCAAGTATTATTATAGTTGATATCCGAAGAAGGAGCCGGGCCATTGTAAACCGGCTGCTTCCCGAAAAGATATCTGGACTTATTTGCGGGCCAGTCGCTCCTGCCATCTGGATGTTCCCTGGAACCTTATAAGTGGCATATAAGTTCCACTAGCACCGTCGATATCAGATGTCTACGGAGGCGATCATGACAAGAGCTTCATGGCGCAGTGGAAGCGCGCCGGGCTCATAACCCGGAGGTCCTCCGATCGAAACGGAGTGGAGCTACCTTTTTACCTCCTTTGAGACTCTGTACTTTTTAAATCTAGTGTTTCTAGTGTATCTATAGATAAAAGGCTATGAGCACACCGGCGCGAAACAATAACATATCGTGCCTTACCAACCATCGCATATAACAGATTTCAGTTGAGTCTTATATTGGCCAGACGAACTATGAGACACAGGTAATAACAGATGCGTCTGCAGTCACTCTGTGCCAAGTTGAGACATGGACGTGAAGAGGCAACTTAGATAAATAGGTACCTAGGCAGTTAAGTAGAATGAAGGTGCCTTAGCGCAATAGCCGTGTGAAGTTATTCAGATAAATGTGAAAGTAAGGGGCAAGGGGTAGATAAAGGGGGAAACGTAAAAGAAAAAAGAAGAAAATTACATCCAAAAGAGCACATCCACCGGGATTCGCACCCGGGCCTTTCCCTTATGCCTACCACCACACCAGATAGCAGCAAGGGAACGAGCTAGACTACTGCTCCATGGATGTTTAGTAAATCCAACTTGGAAACTCCGTGTTGGATTGTCGTCCCTTGTTATGCTTTATGAAGGAAGCTTCCTTTCGCAAAGTCCCAGAGAAGCAAACTCGGAAAGATCGCGTCAAACTGAGTCGGAAGCGCAAACACAATGTAGTCATACGCATCGGGCCAGTTTATAGTACCGTGACTCTATGATACCTAGGTAGGTACATATGATTACTAAAGAGCGTATCTGTAAGCTATGTGCTGTACTCCATGAAGAATCTGTTTCTATGTCCCCGGCGCTTTCCCATACCTTCCATTGCCTCCCAATGGCCTGGCCTGGCCTGGCCTTCTCCGCCCCTTAACCTTCGTGCCTACCTTGTGGTCTCAAATATGACATATTCAGAGACCCAAGAAACGCAGTCCATATGCCTCAAGGACAAACATGCTCAAGCATATACATTACATCAACAAGCTCCAGCCACGTAAGCATCAGGGGCAAACGAGTAGCGAATCAATAGCCTCGATAGTGTGTATATCGAGGCATGGGCAAGAACCTGATGTTCGTCTTTACGAGGGGAGAAAGTGCGAGGCGAAGCATGATGCTGTCTCGAGTTGAGGATATCAAGCAGCGCAGCTAGCCTAGCGATCCAGAGCGATGTGTCATAGTCAAGGCAATACCTGAAGATAGTCTGCTTGTTGGAGTAGTCGCGAGGTTAGACATCTAGGTTCCAGAACCCCTTTACTCGTCAACAATACCTAGGTACTATAAGCACACTTAGCTGACAACGTGGCAGGGAGGGTTTGCACAAAAAACATTATCTATTACAATTCACTTTCGTTGATTAGCTATGCCATGCCGCCTAGATGCGATATGCGATATGTGTGGGTGTGAACCCCCCTTTCCGTTTCCCAGCCGACTCGTAGCCATGCTCCCCTATCAGAAACGCCGCCCAGATGACCTGATTCAGTCCTAGTCCTGACTTGCGCTAAGATCCAGGTTCTTGTCCCAGAGATTCCGTAGAATGGCGGCGACGCCATCGTCTTCCCCGTCCACATAACTGGACCCGCTCATTCGGTCGTGAAGTCTCTCGTCTTCGCCATCAAAACTAGAATTGGCCCCGTTTGCGCGTATCGACGATGCCTGTCGCGGCGTTGTAGGTCTCGATTTTGTCCTATCCGTAAGACTGCTGCTTAAGCCAAGACGACCCGTGCCTCCTATAGCCGACATTCTCTTTCCATTGGCTGCCCCGTTGCTTCCATTCAGGTTTGGTATGCGCTTATTCTTCTTGGTGCTAGGTAGTTGCGATAGCCTTGCTATCGAACGGGCGATGGGGTTCTGGTATCGTCTAACTACGAGATACTCCATGCCCGTACGTTCAAGTGATTTGCCTATGCGCGGATCCCGGTTATCGTAACCACTTCCACCGACTAAGGGGCTTACTCCCACAACGCCAACGCCGGTGACTGGCTGGGCCGGTTCGATAGAGGAGCTTGCGCGTTGAAGGTTCAACTTCTGCTGAGTCCGCGACTTTTCTGCTGGCGCGGCTTTGCCCACCGATCTTCTCGTCCGAGGAGCTAGGGCGCTATCACTCTCGTCATCACTTATAGAAGCTCGATAATTCTTGTTCAGGTTCCCTAGTGACTGAGGCCGTCGCACACTTTCATTGCGCTGGTCTCGTGCAGGTGTATAGAATGATCCGGGCTCGCCATTTCCAGAACCAAGACCATTGACAAACCGCGAGGTGAGATCCTCGCCTCCACTGCCAACTAGCGTGCCATTTTTAGGGGTGCCAAACAGACTGGGCGGGCCGTGGCTCGTTTGAGATTCTGGAGAACCTGAATGGCGATGTACAGATACGGTTTCGGCGGACATCTGGGGCGGTGCGCTGGAAGAAGGTGTTCGCTTTAGTAATCGGGATGTTAGATATTGGTTGTGTTGGGCGGTTTCGCGTTCCGGTGGTGAGGCTTCTTGTTTGTCGGCTGAAGATGGTTCGTGAGGAGTCTGAGGTCGTGAATTGTCTCTACTCTGCGACAACTTCGCGGGTGATTGTTCACTACTAACAGTTGATCCGCGTCTCGACAGATACGGTGAAGCAGATGCGCTTGCGTCTACCCACTCCTCTTCTTGTTCGCTGCCTAGGTCAAAATGAACCTGACCTTTTGCGCCTTTTAATTTGCTGACTTCCTTGTGAGACGAGGATCGCTTGATACTCGAAGCAGATTTAGGTCGCTTTTCTATCTCGGCATGGGAACGATTGCGCTTTAAACTCGACTGGGAAGAATTCTTCTTGAGGTTGGAGGAGGATGAGTCGCGCTGTAGCTTGATTTCTGAAGAAGCGCGTCGTTGATGTGATTGGGCGACCATAGGGGTATTATTTTCTTCGGGGGAGGGAGTAGGGGGTCGTCGTGTCAGTTTGGATGTGGACGAAGCGTGGTGCTTGTGTAAAGCCTTGGAAGATGGTACCCGAGCGTGAAAACGTGCGGCTGCTGCTCCTACAACGTGCTTCCCAGTTTTTGACCGGTGGTGTTGGTGGGATGCATGATCGCTAACTTGCGAATCGCTGTCGTGACGGTTGACAGGCGGACGCTTTGCTGATTGGATAGACGAGTTATTGGAGGAATTATCACCCTCCTTAGCCATATTACTTATTGCTTATTCGCACCTATAAGCCTGTCAGCCAGAAACAAATTTCAGCTGCCCAAGTGGGCGTGGGCATATGCCATGCCATGGCTCGGTGTACAGCCAAACATAGAATTGGGAGGGGTGTCCCCGGGGATAAGGTCTCGGAGGTCTGATCTGGATTTGGGATTTGGGGAAATGGATGGATACCACATATGTATGTATGTATCGTCCTGTAGAATCTTATAAGGTGCTGTACTTACTCCCAAATACCAATGCAACTGTCGGAACGGGGTGTGACAAGAGATGTGTCGGCGGGGGAATGGCTGAATGGTCAGAGTGGCTTGTTAATTGTCTCGGATCACCTTTGAGAGGCTGCTGATGATCCCAGCTCCGGTGCTGAATGAGGGTAGCTATTACGAAATGGTGGTATTAATACATGTGTGGAATGGAAGATCCAAGTAACGTGCAGTCTACCATATGCAATGCAAGCTGTGCTTAGGGTAGCTATGTAGCTGTGTTTCGCTACCACCTTTATTTGGGAAGAAGTGAATAATTACTATGTATTCACACGAAAAGGTGTAGGTGTTGGTGACAAAGATTGGTGATCGCCGGGGAGAAAAATGATGAATGACTTGTCTAAGATTTTGACTTTTCGAGAATAATGAAATAATCAAATAATTACCTACTAGGTACGACGCACTGTTCGCAGTAGCCACTGAGTTAAGGTTCACGAAGTCCCTACAGGTACACAAAATTCTTTCTTATCCGGACCGATCATCGGATCTGGGATAGCGCCTGCCTAGCTACAATGGGAGCTTACATGTACCTACAGTGGGGGATGCACCTTACCTTAAGATACGGACAGACGGAGTAAAAATGAGTAGGTACCCGCCTCCGTAATGTCTACTACATATGTAATATGTAATTTCTAAAAGTTTGTGCCATGACGACACAAAGAAAAGTGCAAACTTCTAAGACACATCCTCGACAAGTGGCGGTGAACCTCTATTTTCGGCCTTTTAATTGGTTATGGTTGCCTAGGTACGTAGCTAACTGAGAATTCCCACGTGTGATAGGTAAGATAGCCGGACGGGCAGACGGGCAGGTGCCTGCAAAGTTTTAAATCACTCCGAAAGGTGGACTACTACGCGGGGTTTTGCGCTACGCGAGCAGTTCACAGCTAATCCATGTAGGTACGTAGGTACGAAACACCTCTGTGGAGACTGCCCTAGACCGTTTCCCCGTGTTTCCTCTTTTGGCGATCCTACACCTCTCGCACCCCTAACCATCCATCCCGTTTCGTGTTTCCCTCTTCAGAACTTCTTATTACTGTACCCAAAGAAGGCAGCTTGGCTCGCATATGTATATGTAAGACCACCCTCACGCAGCCGGCTGAATAGAGCCTCATTTCGTATCCTTTCCGTGTAGATCGCATATGCGTAGTATCTGATGGACGATCGACGGGTATAGTATATCGACTGCAACTCTGCCCATCAAATATGGAACAGAAATCTGTCAAGTCCCCTCGAACGTGTTTCGTCGCAGCCTACCTTGCGCTCGACCCTCACGTCCGGGTAATTTCAAACGACAAGTGTCAATTTCAGTCACTACTATGTATAGATCTGTTGCAATTCCTTAAATAAAAGAGGTGATTCAAAGTGTATCACCATATTGTAACAGTTATTCTATCTCAGATCTCACCATCTTGAATTGACGTCAAGTTACAATCAGCGTCAATATCGACAGGAATCTTGGCGAACTATAGTATCTGTCCAATTTACCTAGGTACTATCGTCAACATGGGCTATTATGAAACAAGCTTCTATAGTCTGCTTGCCCTCTGTGTCGGCCTGCTTGCTGCTCAACCAACACGCCGACATGAGTTAAAGAAGTCGGGCGACTCGTACAAGCCGGTGACACGAGATGACAAACACCCCGAGACGAATTGGTACAAAGTCTATGCGCTGGTCATGGGCGCCGACTGGGTGCAGGTAGGTTTTGTAGGAGCGAATCCTCGTACCGCCGTACCGAACTGATTGGGACTTCACAGGGCCCTTATTTATACTCGCTGTATCGCGATGAGCATGGTCTTTCAGAGCGCATGGTGTCTAGTCTCTTCGCAACTGGTTTCGTGTCCGGTGCTATCAGCGCCTATTTTGTTGGTGCCCTAGCAGATAAGAAGGGCCGGAAAGCCGTCTGCATGGTCTTCTGCCTGTTGTATGCCATGTCTTGCTTTTTTACCATCATCCCGGTCGTCCCTCTTCTTTACCTGGGCCGGATCCTCGGTGGTATTTGCACCAGTATCCTCTTCACTGTGTTCGATAGCTGGATGGTCACCAACTTCCGTCAGCTTAAACTCGTCGACCGGGGATGCGACTTGTCTCGGACTTACGCGACCACAAG